GCACACAGAACGCACACGGAACACACAGAACACACACAGAATGCACACGGAACACACACGGAATACACACGGAACGCCTCGGACAGCAAACCAGACAGAGAGCAGTGGAGAGTGATGCCAACAGGGATGGGTCCCCTTGTCGGGGGATGAAACATCCTGGTGCTGGGGAGCGGTGATGGGGTACAACATGGGGGGGAGGAGGGTTAAATGCCACCGGTGCGTGCCCTTCAAAGTGGTTAAAATGGCAAATTATGTGCGTATTTCACTTCAATCAAAAGAATAAAGCCCATGAAGCCAGAACCAAAATTCACACAATAAACTGTGACGTGCACTCTGTGGTTCTCCCACACGTGGTGCCACCGTGGCTCTCCCCCCCGTGGCTCTCCCCTGTGGTTCTAGCTCCTGTGGCACTAACTTCTATGGAACCCCCGTGGCTCTCCCTCTTGTGGCACTCCCTCCCAGGATGCCACCCCACGAGATTCTGTGGCTCTCTCCCGTGGCATCTCCTCCCGTGGCGCCCCACAGTGGGCTCACCTCGTCGTCGTGCACCAGCTCCTTCTTCACCACCTTCATGGCGTAGATCTGGTCGTTCTTCTTGAGCCTCACCAGGAGGACCTTGGCGTAGCTCCCGCGCCCGATGACCCTGATGAGGTCGAAGTCCTGCAGCCCCAGCCCCTGAGAAATCTTGATGCCGTCCATCCCGTCGATGACCGGCTTGAGGTCCTGAGGGGAGGGGGGACAACGGAGAGGAAAGGGGGGAACTTGTGGGGTTCAGAGACACACGGGGCATCCCAACCTCAACCAAGGCCTGCGCCCGGCCCTGCAGCCACCCCTCTCAGGAGAAAAGCCAAGAACTACGGACAGTGCAGCTTTCGGCGGAAGGAGCTCGAAACCCCGGAGGTCTTCATTTCCACAGACCGCGGCCCAGCCCCAGCCGCCAGCGGCCCGTGAGGGATGTGGGATGTGTGGGGGCAGCCTCACCAGCACTGAGGGGGTGACTGCAGGCTCACGTGCCCAGGGCCATCAGGGCTGCGGCCGGGAGCTGCCTGGCCCGCCCGGCCATCACTAGCTCCATCACTAGCTCAGTCTCCAAAGCGAGTGCTACTGGGACGTGCTCAGGGGGACGGGCAACCACTCCCTCCCTCCCTGTGGAGCACCTCCGCCCAGGACCCAGGGCCAAGGAGGTAAGTGGCTCTGACTCGCACACGGGACCACAGGTCGGAAACTGACCCGGACATCCGTGGGTCACCGTGGGAATGGGCCGGGGGCTGCTCCCCGAGGCTGTGTGGACAGAGGTGAGCGCCGGCTGTGTGGCCAGTTGCCTGCTCACGAGGGCACCTCGACGGTGTCCATCCCCAGTGCTGGCCAGAGGCCACCCGCACCTCAGGCCCGAAGCCGGGGAGGAACGGGAAGGGCAGCAGCGGGTCTGCCCGGCCAGGACCCTCTCCGGCCAGAGGACCACCTACGACCGGGTTTGTAAAAAGACCTGGGTGTCCGGTCTTCCTCCCAGTCCTGGCACAGGACTAAAGCCTTCGGAATTTCCCAAGTGCCCGAGGGCTTCTGTGATGCTAATGAGGTGACTGTGCAAAGCCCCTCAATCACCTGGGAGGGGCGGTTGCCAGGGAAACCAGCCAGAGAGATGGAGGGTGGGAAGGTGGGAACTTTCAGTCCGGCAGGGAGGGCAGAGCTGGCGACTGGGCTCACGCCCGAGGCCAGTGAGGGTGGCTTCGCTCCTGCCTGTGGGACGAAGCTCTAAGACCCCCAAGGACGAGGCCGGAGACCATCCAGGCTGACAAACACGTGCAGGTTCGGGGAGGGTGACCCCCAGAGGGCTGGGCGTGAGTTATTTCCTTTTACAACGAACCCGCCACCTACAAGTGAAGCTTCCCTGAACCCCGAGAGCCGCTCGGCTACAGGGGCTGCCGGCAGCTCAGTGACACTCTGCACTGTGACCCGCGGGGAGGCGGGCAGTCTCCTGGCCCCGAACCCTCCCCGCCCCCCTGGGGCCGGGGGGCCTCCAGGCAGATGAGCTGGCACTGGGTTAGGCCGTAGGACACGGGGTCAGGGTCCGACGAGAACTGGAGAACGGCCTGGTGGCGTGGGAAACAGCAGGAAAAGTGAAGGATGCAGCGTTCGACGAAATAAACGATTTCACAAAAATGAGAGCTCAGACACCAGCCTGGACCCGGTCTGCCAGCAGTGAACAGGGTGCTGGGGAGATGGTGCCAGGACCCGACCCCAAGAGCCTTCGGGGCAGCAGCCTCTGGGGAGTCACAAAGGACGGCCCCAAGCAAGCCTGGTCCCGGGGCTCAGGGGTGAGTGTCGGCCCAGGAACCAGGAGGTCAGGGTTCCATTCCCCGTCAGGGCACAGGGCCGGGCTGTGGGCTCCATCCAAAGAGTGGGGCGTGCAAGAGGCGGATGATGAACGATTCTCTCGTCATTGATGTTTCTCTCTCTCCCTCTCCTTTCCTCTCTGAGATCAATAAACATATCCTATATAATAAAGAGGTAATATGCAAATTAACCCTCACGCCCTCACAAGATGGCTGCCTACGACCAGGCCGGCAGGGGGTTAGTGAAGGACGACCAAACAACTTAATAGCAGGCTGCGTGGGGCAACCAGGCTGGCAGGGGGGGGCAGTAAGGGGTGACCAGGCCGGTGGGGGGGGGGGGCAGCTAGAGCGACCAAGCCGGCAGGGAGGAGGCAATTGGTGGTGAACTGGCCCGCAGCGGGGGGCAATTAGGGGCGACCACACTGGCAGAGGAGGCAGTTAGGGGCAATCAGGCCGACACACAGAGGCAGTGAGGGGTGATCAGGCCAGCATGGGGGGGCCAATTAAGGGCAGCCAGGCAGGCAGGCAGGTGAGCGATTAGGAGCCAGTGGACCAGGATTGGGAGAGGGATGTCTGACTGCCGGTTTAGGCGCAATACCCAGGATCAGGCCTAAACCAGCAGTTGGACATCCCCCAAGGGGTCCCGGATTGGAAAGGGTGCAAGTTGGGCTGAGGGACCCCCCATTTCACTGCACGAATTTCGCGCACTGGTCCCCTAGTATTAAAAAAAAAAAAGAGCCCGCCCTGCCAGAGCCAGAGCCAGGCCCGGGTGCCCCTTCCTCGCCGCCCAGTCTCCTCCGGCGCCTCTCAGTCGGCCTCACGTCGCACACGGGTTCCCAGACAGAGGGTCCCGTGCGCCATGAGAGGTGCCCGTGGGCGCCAAGGTCTCGTGGCTTCACGAGGCACCGATTCCCAGCGATGGGAGCGCCCGTCGTGGAAAGGGTCACAGGGAACCTGAGGATCTGGGCCAGGAAGTGAGAGCCACGTCACTGATGAGCCCGTGGGCATCTCAGTCCACGTGTGGCCCTGGGCCCAGACACGGCCGGCCCCACAGAGGGCCCAGGAGACAAGGCAAAGGCTCGTGAGCCCGCCCCCGACCCAGCCTGCCCCGAGCCCGCGGCCACATGGGCTCCTGCGCCCACCGTGATGGCCTGAGCCCCTGGGCTGATGTGGAAACAGCCATGCCAACACCGGTGCCACGGAAGCTCCCCGAGTGCCAGCGCGGTGCTAAGTGTGAGCATAACCCCCGCCCGGTGCAGAATATAACCCACGGACAGTGCGATCATTATCCAAACCTGGCCGCAGAGCCCTGGGGCCAGAGGTGCCTGAGCCAGGTTAGGCCGCCTGCCGCCTGGGCTCCCACAGCCTCAGCCAATGACAGCTCAGCCCGCTCTGCACCGGGCGGGGGTTAGACGATGAGCACGGCACCCGCCACGGCTCACGCTGCCACGTTCCCCTACTCTGTCCGTCCAGCCACTCAGAGGTCACCTCGGCACTAAACATAAAGATGCTAAACCTCACGGACCTCTGCCCCCCTGCGGCAGTGCCACCTGCTGCCCCCAAGACCAGGCCCTCCCTGAGCCACATCCCCAATGTGTCCGGTTCACGTTAAAATGCCTCAGCTGCCCCGGAAAGGAGCCGATGGACCCAGACAGACATGAGATCCCCAGGTGCCACCTGCACTCACCTCCGAGTCATCTTTAATGCTGTCGTGTTTCCGGGAGGAGGAGATGTAAGGAACTAGGAAGGGAAAGGAACAGGGTGTCACAGGTGTGGTCAGGAGGACGTCCCCCGACACCAGCACCAGGCCAGCAGCGTGCGGGGCAGACGCCGGCAGCAGCCACACCCAACTCGACCAGGCTTAGGAAGCGCGGCTTCCCGGGCCCCGCGCAGACCTGTGGGACGAGTCACGTCAGATGCTGGGTCCACCTGCCAGTCTTTGTTCTTAGAGTGGACAGATGGACAGATGGGCAGATGGACGATGGGTGGATGGGGGGTGGGTGGCAGGTGGATGGGGAGATGAGGAGACAGTGAATAAGTGGATGGTGGTTGGTGGACAGTAGATGGTGGGTGGTGGGTATGTGGATGGATGGGTGGATGGTGGATGGATGGGTAGATGGATGAGTGAATAACGGATAGGTGGGTGGATGGTGGGTGGATGGGTGGTGGGGATGGTGGATGGGTGGGTGGTGGACAGATTGGTGCATGGTGGATGGATGGGTAAATGGATGAGTGAATAACGGATAGGTGGGTGGATGGTGGGTGGTGGGTGGTGGATAATAGATGGGTGGGTGAGTGAATGACACACATGATGGGTGATGGACGGGCAGGTGGGTGGGTGGGTAACTGCTGTTAGGAGTCTCCTCTGTGGGAGCTGCTGTGCTAAGAGAAGAGCCTGGTCTCCTTTCACCCCGAAGGGCTCCTGGGATCGGGGAGCCTGTTCCCACCAACAAAAACCCTGCAAAACCCCGGGAGCTGCAACGCACACCGAGGCCCAACCGCCCGGCGGCCTTCCCCCGAGGCCCGCCCGCAGCAGCCGAGTGGGAGGGGTGGCGCCGTGGCTGCCACACTAAGCGCCTGGCAGACGCCCCTGCAGGCGCAGAGGGGAGCGGGGTCCCACGGGAGCCACTTGGGGAGACATGGGGCCCAGGGAAGGCCACAATGGGGACCTCACCGCCAAGCTGGTCCCGGGGAGGGCAGACGGGGTCAGGAAGGGGGGGCCAGTGGGCACCAGGGCGGCAGCGCCCGGCGCCCGGGGAGGAAGCGCTTACTGCCATCGGTCTCCTCGGGAGCCAGGTCCACGTCGTCGTCCTTGTCATCTACCGGAGGCTCCTGGGACGGCATGACGGGATCCTGCAGGGAGAGGCCCCCGGGGCGCAGGCGTCAAGGCCGGAGCCGCAGCTCTGAGATGGGAGGTGGCAAAGCTCCCACTAAAGCAGACACGCTGGTGGCCGGCTGGTTCAGGGGTGAGCGTCGACTATGAACCAGGAGGTCACGATGATTCCAGTCGGGGCACAGGCCCGGGTTGCGGGCTCGATCCCCAGTGGGGGGCGCGCAGGAGGCAGCCGATCGATGCTTCTCTCATCATTGATGTTTCCGTCCCCCTCTCCCTCTCCCTTCCTCTCTCTGAAACGGATGAAAAACGTTTAAAAAGAAAACACGCACACCGTTACATGTGTCCTAACCCTCATCCTGCCGACTGCTACCTGGTCGCACTGCAGTGACCTGTGATGCCACCGGCGGAGGTGCCCGCTCCGCGCCCCGGGGGGCGGCCTGCCCGGCAGGTGCTGGGCACAACAGGCACTTTTCCCGAAGGCTC